AAAAAATTCTTGAAACTCGAGGGCTTGGCCCTCTTAGGCTTTTGGACCATGGGCTCAGGGACCTGGTTTCCATGTTTCCTTGTAAGATATACAAGGGCAGTGTGACAGTCCCCTTCCCCCAGCCACTGCTGGCTCTTCCAGGCCTCCCCGTACCCCTCACCACAGCCCCTGCTCTCCCTCTCCACAGTCCCACCTCTGTCCTCCCTAGACCCCACATCTGGTCTGGCTGATCATTCTTTCCCAATCTGTGGCTCACGTCTCCCTAGGTGGGTAATGATTTCACTCAGTTGGTGGCCTTTGGGTGCACAGGCTTGGTGTGTGCTCCTGAGCTGTGCACACTTGTGTCTTTGAGCCTGAGTGACTGTTGTGTGCATTGCAGTGACTGAGTTGTGTACACTTGTGTCTTTGAGCCTGAGTGACTGTTGTGTGCATTGCAGTGTACACCTGCCCTGCACGGGGTGTGTGTGGTGGGAGGGGGTGGTGAGGAGGAGGGGCATCGGAGGGGGCAGCGGAGCTGTTCTATTTTTACTGGCCAGTTGCTGCTGGCCACAGTTTTCATAGCCTCCCCTCAGCTCTGCCCCTCAGTCTGCTATCTATATTGAGGCACAGACCAGCCCAGCTCACAAAGGCTGAACGAGGTAAGTGTCTGCAGTCCTAAGACTTTGGACTAGGTCAAACTCAGGCAGAGTACCTGGGATTTTGTTTAAGGAGAAGGGGAGGTCTTACCCGCACAATGGATGTACTGGTAGAACAGTCCTAAAATGCTCCCACGGCGTTTTGTCCCACAGAATGGTGTCTTTCCTTCTGCAAAAACCATTTGGAGAGGTGAAAACTCTGCCTGGCCATTTGGAGGCTGGGAGCCAGGAGCAGAATTTCCCACTAGGCTCCGCAGGAGCCCCAAGGCAGAGCCTACTAGATTATGTTTTTGCACCCAGCAGGTGGTGGGAGAGAGAGGGCACCCAAGGGAAAAGGGAGCAGCACTGGAAATCAGAGAGCAGGGGCAGGGGCTGCATTTGGAAGTTTGAGAACCTGGTGAGCAAGGCCCGCAGCAGGCAAGGCAGGTGCTCTGGCAGCAGCACTCTCAGGAAGCTCCCTGCTGACCCAGAAAATCATCTTGCTTCTTTGCTCTTTGTCTTTAAGGGACATTCTCGGCTCCCTTTACTCATCTATTGGCACAGTAGGACAAGAGCAGGGGAGGGCGGACTGCCAGCTCTGCTTGGCCAACCCCTTTGACCACACCTGGCTCTGAGGAGTAGAACAGTTGTTGGGGGTCCTCCTGGGGGAAGGCAGATGGTGACAGCATTTTGGATTGGGGCACAAGAGCCTGTAACACACACACCAGGGCAATGGCTACAATGTGATCCATGGCTGGGGGTAGGGAGGGTGGTGGTGGTCTCTGACTGAGGTGGGGGCTAAAAGACAGCATAGGCCACTGGGTTTGGGAATCACAATCCCACAGCAGCTCTGGGATTAGGCTTTGCTGTTTGGAGCTCTAGGTGGGGATGTGGTGTGTGGTAGACAGACGGCAGCCACAGGCTTGGGAGCACAGCATTGTTAAATCAGTCAGAGGAAGGTATGCCCTTGAACTGGGGTCCAAGGTCAGGGGTGGGGAGCAGGGGGAAGAACATGAACCTGGCTAGATATTTGTATCCCTGATTATTAGGTGTGCAAAGACATCAGTTCCTCCCCCTACACACACTCACACACACACACACACACACACACTTTCCCTCACACACAATCACTTACACACATATTTATATATACAATCTCAATCTCATAGTCTGGTAGACTGTCCTTTCTACACCGCAGAGCCTTGGAGGAGGGAAAGCTCAGCTCTGAGCCATACACCAGAGATTAGTTGCTCCCTCTGTCCAATTGTGAATTTTCTAATTATGTCCCTGCTTGCTCCTTGCCTGGGAGACAGAATCCTGGCTCTTCAAGCCTCGCCTTGGCTGCTATCTACATCCTGACTTCTTATCAGGTTCCTGCTTGTCTTCCCCTGGACGTGTCAAGGGGTCCCATCTGCTGGGTGTCAGAGTGTAGGCTGGGGCCTCCTGCCTGACATGGGACCCCTTGGTCTGGCATTTGTCAGTGGGACAGACTGGGGCAGGCCCTGGAGCTTGGCAGCTGGCATAGACTGGCCTCAGCAGATGGGGCCCCACACTGGTGACAGAGGGTCTCTCTTAAAGAGAGGAGGAGGCATGACCATGGCCAGTTGCCCACTAAGGATGAGGCACATCTCAGGAAGACAGACTTGAGATCTCCATGGCTGACACCTGGTATCCCCTGGAGACTGGCATTCCTGGAGGATGATCATGAACGGAAGCAGACCTGGGGGTGGTTCTTCATCAGCTAGTGTTTCTTTGGGGCTTCCTCAGTGTCTTTGGAGAATCAAGGCCCTCAGAATGAGCAACTGCCTAGAAAATCTAATTTTAGCCAAGCATCTTGGGAATTTATGGATTTTCTCTATACCTCTCCCTGTGTGGCCCAGGGTAACAGCTGAGATTCTGGGGTCATAACCCATCCTCTACTTCATCTATTCCTGAGTCATTGTCCCTAGGTGGCAGAGGCAGCAGTGGAGGCCTAGAAGACTTTTTGACCAGGTGGGAGACTCAAGAGAGGTGGACAAAGCCCTGTTCACCAGGGCCAGGAGGATGCTTCATAGGCACAGAGGGAAAGGAGAGACCAGGACACAGGAAGGGGTAGCTCTGGAATAAAACTATTGGTAGGTGCTTTACAAGTAACCTTTAGAGTCTGCCCTCCCCTCCTCTGGGTCCCTGAACCAAATGCAAACTCCTGATCTTGAGCTCCATGCCCTACCTGCCCCCCACCACTGGTCTCTCCCACCCCTCACTGCACTGCCTAGCTCAGGGTCCTGTCCTACCCGGCACTCTCCACCCCATTGTCCCTTTTCTTCTCCTGAGCTTTTTCACAACTCTCCCCTTCTCCTCCTCCACTGGAATGCTCTATGCCCAGGCCCAGGCAAGATGGTGGTGAGTCAGGTCTGGGTTTGAAATATCTCTACCTGGAGACTCACAAACTCCCCCATGGCCTGGGCCCCAGAGACCACCTGGTCAAGGGGCTTCAAACCATGCTCCATGGCCAAGTGCCCTCACAGAGGACTACAGGGCTCCTATGATAACTCCCTTCAGCCAGGGCTGTTTGCTCTTATTGACTGAATTTTTTTGTTTCCAAGTATGATTTGGTTTGAACAAAGGATTCAAGAGTTAAATCTTAAGTGGAAAACTTATCTAACCCCTTGTTTTGCAGACAGGAAAACCTCCCAGAGAGAAAGAGGATAAACTTGAGTAGAACACAGGATTGTCCCTGCCTCCTATCTTAACGCCCTCCATTTGGCACCTGCCCTGCCATCTGTGTGAGTGGCGCCCCTGGAGTTGTCCCATGTGGAGGTCACCTGTATTCCAACGTTCACTCTGCTCCATTCAGCTTCTGGATCTTCCCCTCTCTGAGCGCTTTGGTGACACCCTTGTCCACAGGATAAAGTGCAAACAGCTTGTCGTTCAAGGACAGCTTGTCCTCACTTTGCAAACATTCTTCTACAAACTCTATTCTGTTCCCTACGGGGTCAATAAGCTTTTACCAGAAAGGGTGAATATTTTAGGCTTTGCAGGCTTTTCACATGTGGTTCCTGTCCCATATTCTTCTTTTTAAATTTTCTAACCTTTTAGGCAAAACCATATAGATTTGTAGGGTGTCCTTTGCTGATCCCTGCCCTATATCCCTGTCTCATCCTGACCTGCTGGAATCCATTTTCTCTTATTTCTTCTTCCTGTGGTCCCCCTTTCCCAGGCAGCATTACTGGCTCCCAAGGCCCGCCTGGGTCAGGGGTGGGAGTCACAACTTTCCCTTATTGATGATTCCTCTGTGCCCTCTAGGTGCTGCCCCACTGCCACCATGCCGGAAGTGTAAGTATTCTCACCTCTTCTGGGGCTCCAGGAAGGCAACTCCCCTTGCTGCAGATATCAGTCCCATAGTTGAGGCTTCATTTGTTTAGCCCCTGAATCTGCTCCCCTGGAGACTAGATCCTAAAACAGGGCCAGTCCCAAGTACCTGGGTCAGCATTTACTGGCTTCCCCAATGTCTCCATGCGTCCTCCAAGTCTTGGAGCAGAACTTGCACCCCCAGGTTGCCCTGGGAAGACATTTTTGGCCTGTGCTTCAGAGTTTGCCTGTCTGCACTGATCAGATGGATTGCATGTGCCAGGCTATGATTTAACATTGGCCTACCTAGTAGGTATACAAAGCATTGAGACTTTACCCAGAAGCCCAGGGATGGACCCTTTCATGTTACTGGAACCTTATCTTGAGGCTTCCATGACCTCCCACTGCTCTTGCCCAACTCACCATGACTACACCCTCATAATAAGAACATCTAGTAGCCCAAAGGGCTGTTGGGTTCTATTCTATTCTGACGGAACCCTCAAACTGGTCCCCTACCTGATGCCTGATTCCTTTCAGACATACTGTTGCCCCCTTTCCCCCAAGCTGATTTGCATGGTTCTGGTGTGCACATGTAACATACGTTGCTCATACTCACTCTGTGTTCTGCTCTTCTCCCATCCTTCCCGTGATGGATACGTGAAGCGAGGTAAGTGATAGTTGGAGTATCTCTGTCCTGGTTAACTCTTCAGACTAGTGATGGGGGGAGGGCGTCTAAGAGGAGAAAGCTTGGATTAAGGCCTGGGGGTTGGAGGGTGCTCAGTGGCTAAGCAATTTCACAGGAGATAGATACCTTGGGTGAAGATTCTGGTTGTGGGACTTTCTAGAGTCCAGGGAGTTGATGTTCCAGTGCACGGTGTCACTGGAAGGTGGTCCTGGAACTGGGACTGCCACAGATCTGGGGGTGACTCTGCACCCTTGGTGAGAGCAAGTTCTCACTCACCCACTTTAATAGCTCATCCAGTCCTGGGGGGGACCATCCTGGTCCTCACAGAGCTGACCCTGTGCAAAGCCATACTTGAAGAGTAAGAGGAGAGTCACTGGCTGAACATTGAGGGAGGAGCAAAGAGATGTCCTCAGATCCCCTCAGCCCTTAGGTAACCTTGACCCTGGCCTTCTATGCAGTCCAGATTTACCCAACCTGCTGAGAGTGCGGACTATGTACTGACCAGGGATGGGGAGTGTAGGGGTGGGGCTGAGGACTCAGGGATGCCAAGAGCTGGAATAGGCAGGCAGCGCTGATGGAGGGGACATTTGGTACAGAGATTCTCAATGAGAACAGAACATACTATTTTTCAACAGTCATGTGGGTTTCTGAGTTTTGCTGAGGCTCATCTTTAAGTGAATGTCCACTGATTAATGGTCAAATGTGGCCATAAGCTCACCAAGTGGGGAAACAGAATGGCAATAAAACATTTGCCATGGGTACATGACTGTGTGTAAACCATAGGGGTAATCGTTATAGTAATAGGACATTTCTCGCAAAATCACGCTTATCAGTGATGTAGTAAAAATCTAGGTTTCAGGGGGAGGAAAAGACAAACAACCCACCCTGAATATCAGGTTAGAAATCCCACATTTCATGTACCGAAACACTTGTATTTTCTTCCATGAAAACTGCTCTTGCGAAGCCTGATCACTTCTACTTTATGCACTGGTATAACAACCTAGAGCTGAAGTTTTGTGCTCCCAGCTTGTCATAAATAAGTAGGATTTTCACTAGCATCTCTGAGAAGTGACAGCCTATGGCCCAGGAGAGACACAAGTGCTTAGAAGGCATTGTAGTCTCATTAGTTAGAGGTCTAGCGGCCCTACTTACTTTCCCCATCCCTGAGGCACCACTGACACAGGGCTAGGACTTACTAAGACTTATCAGTCAGCATTACTGACATTACTATGACATAACTAGTCAGCATTTTGAGACAGAGTCTTGCTCTGTCGCCTGAGTTCCAGTATAGTAGCCTCATCGTAGCTCACAGCAACCTCCAACTCTTGAGTGCAAGCAATTCTCTTGCCTCATCCTCCCAAGTAGCTGGGACTACAGGTACCTGACATGATGCCTGGCTAAGTTTTCTATGTTTAGTAGAGACAGGGTCTTGCTGTCTTGCAGGGTCAGGCTGATCTTGAACTCCTGAGCTCAAGGGATCCTCTCACGTTGACCACCCTGAATGCTAGGATTACAGGCATGAACCACTGTGTCAGTCAACTAGTATTTTTTTTCATAAGAGGAGGAAACAGTGTTTTAATATCTTATAAAGATTTATATGGTGGTGTCAAGATTTTAAGAAGTTTTGAGGTCTACACAGATATGCTTCATTTATTTGGGAAATTCACAGCTTATTTCTTCAGCATGACAGATGATCAAGTATCACTATATTACTTTTCAGAGTACTAAAATGTACATTTCTCTCACGTTTCCAAATGACTTGTATATCCACGATCTCATTTTGTCTGTAATAACTCTGAGCACTAAGTCAGATGGGTTATAGTATTCTTACTGACAAATGATGGTGGAGGTGCTTACAGAGGCCACATGGCCAGCATATGCATAGAGTCATATAGGGCCAGTAGCAACAGAGCCAGAGTAGGAAGTGAGGGCTTCTCCCCTGGATCAAGGCAGGTGAGTGCAGTGTTCTGTGAATTGAAGGGGTTAAATGACTTAGAGGAGCTTTTAAAGGTCCCTAAGGTGAGCAGAAGATTCTGGGTAATGATGGTGAAGCCAGACTGGGATTGTTCTTGGTCTTGATCAGCAATTCAGTCTGTAGCTTCTGCCTCACTACCTATCTCCTCTTTCTCACCCTCAGAGGAAACCCAAGATCACTGCCTCCCGGAAACTCCTGCTGAAGGTGAGGCTGGGGGCTGGATGCTTGAGGACACCCGTGAGAGACAGAAGGGCAGACCCTGAGTGGATGGAAGGGATTAATGGAGGGCAAAAGGGAGGAGGCCAGAGCAAGAAGGTGGAGGCGGTGGAGGTAGCCCCGCCGTTGCTGGAGTCAGTGTCAGCCTTAGCTGATCAGCGGGTGGGAACCTCGAACTATGGATTCTGGCACCCGCCTGGGGTCCTGAGAGGGGGCAGTGACCAGCTTCAGAACAGGAAGCTATTAGTGGGGGCACAGAGACTTGCTTTACTTTGCTTCAGGTTTCTCTCTTTCGAGCTCTGTGGGCCCAAACAGACAGAAAGTGGTAAGAGAAAAGCTCTGAGGGAGAGACAAGCTCCAGGGCCTGAGGGATGCGGTGCACTGACACTTGGCATCTCTTCATATGCGCCTGTCCATGGCTACCGCACCCATTTATATGCTGCACTGTGGTCTCAGAGCTGGCTGGGCTTGGGGCCACCTCCCCTCCTTCCCTGATGCTCAGGGGACAGGGGGAATATGAGGGCCCTGGCTCAGTGGGTTTGTCCTGTCCAGAGCCTGATGCTGGCCAAGGCTAAGGAATGCTGGGAGCAGGAGAATGAGGAGCGTGAGGCTGAGAAGGCGCGTTACCTGGCTGAGCGCATCCCCACGCTGCAGACCCGGGGCCTGTCCCTCAGCGCCCTGCAGGTGAGCCTTGAAAGACAGACTGGGCTGGGGTGGCGGCCCCACATGGGTGGCCCCAGGGACCAGGTGTCAGACGCCTGAATGAATGAATACCCTTCAAGTTTCTATAACTTACTTAGGAGGTGCTCGTCCCTGTCAGGGTCTCCTTTCACCTTCTCAGCCACCTGTGGGTGGTGATGCCAGATGGCATGCCATAGGGGCAGGAAGTAAGCCTCAGAGGGACCAATTGACTTGATGGGTTGGGCCAAGCTAGGGATCTGGCTGCATTTGGGTTTGGGGCATGGAGCTTGAGAAGCCCCTCCCCACCCCACTTTTTTTTGAGATAGACAGAGTCTCACTCTGTTGTTGAGGCTAGAGTGCTGTGGCATCAGCCTAGCACACAGCAACCTCAAACTCCTGGGTTCAAGTGATCCTCCTGACTTAACCTTCCAAGTAGCTGGGACTATAGGCACCTGCCACATGCCAGGCTAATTTTTCTATTTTTAGTAAAGATGGGGTCTCACTCTTGCTCAGGGTGGTCTTGAACTCCTGAGCTCAAGGAATCCTCCTGCCTCAGCCTCTCAGAGTGCTAAGAGTAGAGGCATGAGCCACAGTGCCTGTCTGGGGAAGCCCCATTTCTCCAGAGACTTGCCCATCCCCCCTTAGAGTTTAGTCTTTTTTTTTTTAAACTTCATTTTTTTTTTTATTATTTTTGTTGTTGTTGCAGTTTTGCCAGGGCTGGGTTTGAACTCACCACCCTCGGTATATGGGGCTGACACCCTACTCACTGAGCCATAGGCACCACCCAGAGTGTAGTCTCTAATGTTTTTTGAACATTGGTAGCTGTTTTAATGTCATGATTGCAAAGAAAGGAGACTGGAAGGAAATATAGGAAAAGGTCACCAATAATCTCCAGGTGGTAGCAACACTAGTTATGTTTATTTTATTACTATTACTTAATACATAGTTTTCAAAATGTCTACAATTAACTTGTATTTCTTTTATTGTAAGAAAAGTACTTTTTAAAGCCAACTTGTACATACAGAAAGGAGAACCAAGGGTGTACCCTTTGCACTCAGTGGAGTCGTTTGTCAGCTCTTCTCCAGAGGCCAGGTCTGGCCAAGGGGCGGAAAGAGCCAAGGGAGTTGGATTTGGAGGCAGAGAGAGAGGCTGGAGACCGATGGCTGTCCCCTCTGTGCCTGCCTGATCAATCTGCCTCCCCCAGGACCTGTGCCGGGAGCTGCATGCCAAGGTGGAGGTGGTGGATGAAGAACGGTATGACATTGAGGCCAAGTGCCTCCACAACACCAGGGAGGTAAGTCTGTGGGAAGGGCATGGCTGGGTGGGGCTGGGGCTGGGCTGGGCACTGAGAGGCCCCCTCCTTCCTCAGGGCCTGGGAGGTAGCCACTTAGCTGGAAGCTTTGGTGTCCCCACCCTAACCCTGTAGGGCTGAAGATGGGCAGAGGATAAGCACACATGAAAAGCACAAACTTCCTCCCTCCCTGCCATGTGGGCTCTGCAGCCTAACAGAAGCCACCTCTTTATTCACCGACACAGCTAATCATGTGCCTGTTAATAACATCCTACCTTTGGGAAGTGCTTTCATGTGCCTTATATCCTTTGATCCTCCCTACTTGCCTGAGGATGGAGGAGGGGCCATTATCTGCCCCTTGGAGAGGAGAAGGCTGAGGTTCAGAGAGGCTGAGAGCTTGGCTTGGGTCACACAGGGGTGGTCCCGGGACCCATGCTGGGCTCTGACTCCTCACATTCTGGTGCTCAGCAAGGGGTGTGGGAACAATTAGCTCCATCTAGACCCTGCTCCAGTGGGGTGTGACAGAGTTGGGAAGGACAGGACTCCTTCTGGGCATTTGTCCAAGCAGAGTGGGGTGTTGAGGGAGGGAGCACAAACCACTTCTCTCCTTTCTACTTCTGCCCTTCAGTGATGATGATCTGAGTGATCATCAAGCCAGAGATCACATCCTCAAATCCCTACAAGGGTCTAGAGCAGGCAGCTTCATCCACCCTGAAGGCTCTCTGGGGAGGGACGAGTTTGGAACAGGCATGAGGCTGTAGAACAAGAAGCTGCAGCCTGGTATTCCTAACAGGGCTTCCAAGCCACACAAGTCTGAGCTTGGTGGGACTGCTCTTCTACTCAAGGCTCTATCGGTGGCTAAAATGGGCTTTGTTTGTGCACTTATTCACCCATTTTGTCAACAAATGTGTGGTGGGCTATTGGCAAAGGGATGGGTGGGTCTGAGTGTCCTAGAGGGTCTAGCCTCAAAGCTGGGGAATCTGAGTGTGGCTCTGGCTGGAACCCCAGCAACCTAAGACCCTCAGGCAAGGTGCTATGGCCAGCTCCTCTCACCAAAATGGGCTTTATCTGTGTACTTATTCACCCATTTGTCAACAAATATGTCGTGGCTATTTGCAAAATCTCATCTCTCTGGCCCCTTCTCACTTGCAGATTAAGGACCTGAAGCTGAAGGTTATGGACCTTCGAGGGAAGTTCAAACGCCCACCCCTCCGTCGGGTCCGTGTCTCAGCTGATGCCATGCTCCGGGCCCTGCTGGGCTCCAAGCACAAGGTATCCATGGACCTGCGGGCTAACCTCAAATCCGTGAAGAAGGAAGACACAGAGAAGGTGAGGCCCCTCGGCTCAGAACCTTCCATCTCCTGCCCCACCACTTTTCCCCATCAACCCTTCACGCAGCCTCAGGCAGGCTTGAGAGCTCCTGTTGGAGGCTAGTCCGCAGGTCAGATAGAACCTTCTAGAACCCTCTGGGAGACCAGTGTGGGAGGAAAGGAGGCTGCTTTGATCTGAGGAGGAAACTGGGACACAAAGCAAGGCAGACCAAAGAATAAACTAAAAATCTTGAAACTAGTATGAAGAAAATATGGAGATTTAGGGTACTAGGGGAGATGACTACCCGTGTCATTACAGGGAAAGAAGAAAGGACAGAACTGCATTATGGGTATAGGTACACATGAGTGCAGACGTTAGAGAGCTGAGTTTGGTCACTCAGCATTGAATCACTCCAAGTTGGTTGAACTCACAGTGTTTGTGCCCATAATTGACAGCCCTGAAGGAACAGGGATAGTAGGAACAAGAAGCCCAAGAAGCTCCATAAAGAGAAGCAATGAACCAGTTATTATGCTGACAAAAGAAAATGAGGCCAGGCATGGTGGCTCACATTTCATAATCCCAGCTCTTTGGGAAGATGAGATGGGAGTTTGAGACCAGCCTGGTCAACATAGCAAGACTATCTCTTGAAAAACAAACCAAAAAAAAAAAAAAGAAAGAAAAAGGGAAATGAACCAAATTAGTAAGAGAAAGCTTCTTGGAAGAGTTGGCCTTGAGCTACATGCAGTGTTTTAGACCAGGAGGGTGGCATGGGGCTGTGATTCATTGTGGGTGCGAACTGGTACCTGTAACCCTGCCAGTGTCACCCAGAACTCCCAACCTACCTACTTCCTCTTTCTAGTGAAACCTCCCCTGGGCCAGACACCAGCTGGGGAAGGGTGGGGTTGGGATTTCCTATCATTTTGAGGAGGCTGACTTTTTACCACACAGTTTCTTCTGAGCTGGGAGGCCTGACTCCCCCTCTGGCCAGGTTAAGTTCTGATGTATGTGTGGTCTACTCTTAGGAGCGACCTGTAGAAGTGGGCGACTGGAGGAAGAATGTGGAGGCCATGTCCGGGATGGAAGGCCGGAAGAAGATGTTTGATGCTGCCAAGTCTCCAACCTCACAGTAGAGGTACCTAGAGACCAGCTCCTTCCTCTTTGGGGCCCAGTAGAGCCTAAAGGATGACAAGGAACACCAGGACAAAGGCTAGGAGTTGGGTCTAGAGTGGTATAGGGAACAAAGCACTGATGACAGTCAGCTCTCCCGGGCTCAGCCCTGGCTCCAGCATGGGGATACTCTGGGCATGTCATTTCTACTTTGGGGCCCGTTTTGCTCCCTCCATCTATGAAGTTGTGGGTTGTATCAGATCAGTGGTTCTCCAAGTATGGTCCTGGGCCCAGCAGCAACTGCATCATCCAGGGTGCAAATGATCAGCCCCTACCCCAGACTCACTGAATTGGAAACTCTGGGGTGGGACAGCCCTCTAGGGGGTTCTGATGCACTCAAGAGAACCACTGGACCAGAGAATCCCTAGGTCCCTCCAGCTCTGACTGTCTGAAAATCAAAGTTCTTTTAAATACTTCCTGACAAAATCCTTAATTTATGTACCCTGCAAGTCCCTAGCACTCAGGGAGCGACCAGTCAGAGAGGATACAACTTCCCACTCCATGAGGAAATAGCTGGAGAAAGTGGACAAAGCAGGAAAATAAGGCCACATAAAACCCTCTGTGGGAATGCTGAGAGAAGGCACAACAGTGCAGGGGCCTACCCGGTAGCTCCCAGTCAGAGAAGGCTTTCTGGAGAGGAGGCGCTCTCTGAGGAAGCGATTTCAAGTGTTAGTAGGCAAGGCGAAGGGTGTGTAGGGTAGGCTGATGATGTGATAAAAGAATAGAGGTAGGAATAAGCACCTCTCATAGAGGAGGGTGGCCAGGCCAGGCAAGAGCCGAGGGGCCCGATGTGGACAGCAGTGGGTAGGGAGCCATCCTGGAAGTCAAGGGAACTGGGCCATCAGCTGAGAAGCTGAGGTTTTGTGAGAGTCCCTGTGGCTGATGGTCCAGCCCAGGGGTGTTAGGAGTGAGAAGCCCTGGGTACCGCATGTGCTATAGGTAAGTCAGGGATTCATAAACTGCACGCAGGTCCCCAGGAACTGATGGCTTCCTCTACTCTATTCCTACAGGAAAGCCTACTGGGCTGTGCTCTGGGCTCCTGCTTCATGCTTCTTCCTCCAGCCCTGCTCACTTAGCACCCCGTGCCATATCCCCATCTGGAGCAGCCCTCCCTGGCCCCACCTCTTCCCTCCAGCGGCTCACTCTCCTCCGGAACCAGGATGCAACAGGCACACAGGAGAGAAGAGGACGCCAGTGTCTGAAGCCCTCACCCCAGTGGGGTGGGCTTCCAGTCACTTTCAAGCTCTTGTGTTTTCCCAGCCACCTGGGGCATGACAAGCAGAGGGAGAGGAGGCAGTGAGCTCACCCTTCCTCCAGCCTGTGCCAAGTGCCTTCGCTGTCTGTCCATTAAAAACCCAGTGTCCCGGTCATTTGTGGTACGCTGACTGTGAATGCTCAGAGGGAGTTTGTGAGGAGAGTGCTGTGCTGGGCCCCAGGCACTGTGTCCACAGTCAGGAGCTCAGGAACCGAATGCAGGGCTATGGAATTGGCAACTGCTGTCCACCCCACTGGCATCACACAGCACACCCTCACACCGAGGATGCTTGGCTCACCAAATCCCTGTCATCTGAGAACAGACCCTGTATCACCCCCATTCTGTCCCTCAAGCAGGGCCTCTCAATTTAGAGCGGCTTCCTCTCCCTGGTTCCATATTCTGCTTCCTCTGTAAACCTGGATCACATTTTTCTGGCACCCTCTGGAGGGACCTGACCGTTCTGGGCCAAAGATGTCAGGATGTTTTCAAGCCCTCACCTGGTCCTGCTGGCACAGTGCAAGAGTCGTGGTCCCATACCCAGCCCGCCAGGAGCGACACTTTGCAGTTCCAAGCCTCGCCACCAGGTGGCTCCTTCCCTGGGCTCTGCCTCTGCTCTCTCCTCCCTCAGCCACCCTGCCCCTGGCATTATTTCCCTTTCACACTCCTATACTGGTCATAGCTGGTCATATCCCACAGGACTGATACGGTCCCCAAGGTGTGGCAGCCAGTGATCTTTCCTCTGGGTCAGGTCTTTTCTCCCTCTCATTGATATTCTGGTCCAAAGCCTGGTGAGGGACATAAGCCCAGAAGCTTTGGGAGTCTGGGGCAGCCCCTCTCCCCATCACACTAAGAAGAATGGTTCCTGTGAAGCAGAGACCAAGGTTCTGGGCCAGAGGTGGAATAAGCCTGACTTTTCTGGGCAGTGTCATGTGACTTCTGAGCTAAGCCTACGAGGGAAGTGGTCAATCTCAGACTGGGGAATTTTTTCTTTTTAACTGCCCCAGCACTGGCCCCAGGAAAGAGTGAGCTGTCCAAGCAGCACCCCCTTCCACCCACCCTACTGAGTCCCTATTCAACCCTCTAATCGCATGTATTACCAGCCATAAATTCCAGAAGCTGGTGCAAAGTGCAGCGCCAGCTACTCCCTAGGGCATGGTCTGGCACCCAGGGCTGCTCAGCCTGCCAGCCCCTTCCAGAGAGCACGGAAGTGGGAACAAGCAACTTGGGGTACCTTAGGGGAAGCAGCAGTCTGCCCAGGGCTCCTGCCCTGAGTAGGTCAGATGGGCAGAGGCAGACGTGTGCAGAAAGCACAACTCCTACCAAACCTATAGGCACAGACACGCCCGTTCTCACATACACAAAGCTGGAAAACCTGATGGGGCTGGTCCAGGCCACAGAGGATGAGGTTAAGCTTCATGCCCAGGCAGCCACAGAAACCCACCCTTCCCTGCCTCACAGGGCTTCTATGGCTGGCCTGGGTCCAAAGCATCATCTCCTTATTTTACCTTTTTCCAGCCCTTTCATAGAAACTGGCTACAAGTTCCAGAGTAAAATCTCAGTTCTGCCAGTCAACTATTAACCAGGGGCGCTGTCAGACTGGGGTATCCACCCTGCTATAAAGGTGGGAGAGCAGCCCGGGGCCTGACTCAAGGAAACACCTGGGTACAGGAGGCCTGTGGGAGGAGAAGGTGGGGCCCCTTCAACACACCCAAGCTTATGGCCCTCTGGGATGGAGCCTATCCAGAGGTTTCCGAGAGGTCATTGGGTTCCTCCTGCTTCCAGGCAGGACCAGACCTGATTCATCTCCTGTGAGGATGGGGCAAGAACAAAAGTAGGCACAAACATACCCTGAGAATGCAGATGGAGAGACCCTAAGTGGATTGGGGAGGGAGAACTCTGTCCCAGAGCTCCTTTGGGGTGGGAGAGGGATCCACAGAGGAGGCTGTCGTAGCCATGAACGGGGCCTGGGGATAGAAGGCACCATCTGTGGAGAGCCCTGATTCTGTTCCAGTCCTTTCTCACCATGAAGGCCAACATGACCCAGCCTAGACACTAGGCCCGTGGAACTGGAAGCTGGGGCCTCCTACCAAATCACTGCTCACATGTACAGTACATTTAGGTGTCAGTCACAGCTAGCACTTTAATTCCTCTAACCTTCATGACAACCTGTGAGAAAGCTAAAATTACTATTCCCATCTTACAGGAGGGGAAACTGAGGCACAGAGCAGTTAATGACTTCCCATAGTTACACAGCTAGTAACTGGTGGGCTAAGATTCAATCTAGGAAGTCTGTTATTCACTATTGCAATAATAATGACATTTCAATTGCAATAATAATATTAATACTATACTAAATGCTTTGTTAGAATTGTATCATTACATTCTCACAAAAACCTAAGAAGTAGATACTCTTATCTCAAATTTACTGATAACGAAATGGAAACTTGGTGAGTTTAGGTAGCTCACTCTAAGTTACAGGGTTTGACTGATGCAGACCAGAGTCTGGAGCCCATCAACCCATCTCTGGGTTGCTCCTTTCTGGAATCAGACTTGCCTCCACAGAGCCCAACCAACCTCTTTCCTGAAGGACACAGCAGGGGCTCAAGGGCCCTGCATATGCACCTGGGGAGTCCCCAGATTCTCACCAAAGGGGAAAACATCTCATTGAGATGCAAGTGACATCCAAATGGGCAAAGGTGGGGGTGTTGGGGGATAGGGAGATGTCTGTCTCTAACTCACACATAATAGCTGGGTGGGCACCCCTCTTTGCAGTTGGAGGCAGGTTGGTGCTTCTCCCTCCTGGGTAGGAATGACTAGGACAGTATACCACAAGCTACCCCACCCTCACCCTGCTATCTCAGAGCCTTCAGGAAGTCAGCTGTTGGAGCTCTCAGGAGGCCACCCCTTCCCCATAAGATGCCCCTGCCCCCTGCAGAGCAACAAGGCCAAGCCCGGCTGTGTGTCTGGAGCCCACTTAGCAGTGGGTACAATCAGGGCAGGGCCCAGCAGCTCAGAGCTACTGGGGTTAAAGTGCCCTACTGAAGGAGGGGCTGAGTTAAACATTAGCCACAATGGCCCCCCACGAAGTGAGTCACACGCCCCACAGGGCTATGGGCTGGGCAGCCATGGGGGGCAGCTTCTGTTCCAGGTCGGTGACCAAGCTGCTAAAGCTTGAGACACTTTAGTGGGACTTGTGCAGATGGCAGCCTGCTCTCCTGACCCCTTAAATGCTCTCTCCTTCCTTAAAAATCCCCAAAGCTTGACAGCCTTCACCGAAGGAGAGGGGCATGGGGACTCTCTCACTCCCAAGACGTGCTTCTATGCGGGCTGTGGGTCCCCTGAGGGTGAGCCTCGATAACTCCATAGCACTGGCACAGAGCACTGTGGTCAACGTCTGGCAGCCTGGGTTCGGAAAGTCATTTGCTCAAGGTCACAGAACTAGGCAGAACTAGGAATTAGGTCCTCGGTCCCCATCTATTCAGAAAACTAGACATGGACAGAGCTCTGATCTTCCAGCCACAGGCAAAGGCCCAGGGACCCACGCAGGCTGCCCACCTCTAGCCCCAATGCCAACAACTAGTCTCTCTCATTGCTGACACAGGCTGGGTGGTCTCCAGAAGTCAGGGGCATGTGGGCACAGAATATGCAGGGTGATGGCCTGCCTGTGTGACAGTCACCTGTGTGTCCCCTGTACTGGTGCCTCCAGATGCTTTCCTCCCAACTGACTCCTCATGACCCAGGTTTCAACTGCTCCACCCCACAATGAGGCAACTGGGGCTACAAATGTAGTAAGATTTTCATAAAGCTCAGTGTATTCAGTGGAAAGCACTCTCTTTTGTTCTGAGAGCATGCATGCCTTAATTTTATTGTTGTATTACATTATACTTACAGAGTGGGAGGACAGTAGGTGGTAACAGTT